AGCGGCGCTGGGATCGTTGTGTTCACTCCCAGGGGAACTACTTCGAGGGTGATGGATGAATTTAATACCTGAGATAAGTGTACGGGTTTTTATAGGCGCAGTCTGGAAAATTTCCGATCGCACCTCGTACACTTTACTGACGTCAGATCTTCAAAATATCACTTACATTTAGGCAGTCGGAGGCTTGTGTCCCTTTGGCGCAGCCTGTGTCGAGTATAGGCACACTGACCACTTCATTCGATGGTCCGCATTTGGTATTGGATGTTTTCTGGTACTTGGCTGTGCCCGGACATTCTGCAGTCAAAATGATTTTTACATTTATCTTACAATGATCCGTATTTCAAAGCATTTTTGAACTTATAACACATCCATTGATTAGAACTAAACTGTAGACTCTGTAGACTGATCAAACGAGGTAGGGTTATACACGTGGCTGTAAAAGTTGTAATTCTGCGTTTACTCGTTGGTGTCTGCGTACATTTCCACACGTCTTTGCAACCCAAAGACAAGCATCGACATCTTCACCGATTCTTCTCAGATTTCATGTTAATTAACGGGTCCACTATAACATAATTTGGAAAGATGCATTTTATGTTAGATTCTCTCGTACTTATCAAGATAATGATTGAAATTAAGTTAGTTTAGTAATAATTATCGTCATAAATCATTAGTCCCAGCCTGAAATATTTGAGCAGTCTGCATATTGTAATTGTGAACCGGGTTAGCCAAATTAGGATAGTGACTGTCTGCGGCCTTAGCGACTGGGGTTCGAATTCTGGCAAGAGCAGGGACTTCTGTTGTAGTCCATACCGCCACCTAGCACCCCACAACTATCTGTTCATTGGGATCCGATGTCCCTATCTCCGGAGTACTTCTACCCGTGCTTGAAGCAGGCCCCTTATGAGGCTGAGAACGCGGAAAGCCGTAGCTATGCCACCCACATGTATCCATGTCGTGGTGCTTAAGTACAGGAATAACTTTAACTTTTTCATGGTTTGTTACTAGTTGAGGATCTTTGTCTTACTGTTGGAAGAAGATTAAATTTGACTTACGGCATGCTGGACTAAGGCAGGACTCACAAGGAAGAACCAGGTTGTAAGATGAGGTGTCGAACACGACTTCGAAAGTTTGCTGGCCAACCGCTATCTCGCCGACGTACTGAGTCTATGTAAGGATCGAACATATATTAATTACAAGTACACAGGTTGGTATAACATATAAGTGAGGTTAAGTGCAATACATGCAACAGGAGACGGGTCGATAAGGAATGTTTACAAAACAAAGTACATTACAAAAAATAGAACTGGCGGATTGCAGACAACAACCTTGCGGAATAGGTGTCAGATCTACCTACTTTTCAGGGTTCTAAGCATGAAAGCGTTTCTACCAACAGCGAGATCAAACCGTCATTTAGCGTACACATTGGTAAGAATGATATTGCTTTTAGTTTTAACAAACAGTCCAAAATAACAGGCTATGACTGGTTATACTTGTAATCGTCTTCGTTTCTGCATTGCGACTACGCGCCCTGCTGCGTTAGTAATAGAAAATTTTACGGAATTCGGGTCTTGTTTCTCGCCTACATCAGGGCACCGACTGAATGTTTCGGCGCAAAGTTGGCGGAGAACCCGTTCGTTTAGTAAGTTGGAAGGTAGGCGACGAAAACCAAACGCTGAAAGACTAAGTTAACTTACACCTTAATCTGTGGCTGTGAAAGCATAAGGAATCCTCTTGTGCTGTTCTTAAGTTACGGACATTGTTAGTTGCAGTCAACTTACGTTTATATATTCGTTTACGATTCTCTTCCTCTTCAGAGGAACCCTGCAACAATACAATCACACTGGTTTAAGATTCGTAAGTTATGAAATGATCTCATAGTGTATCAGTTCTGGCGCAGTTGCTAATAAGTTTCATGTCGAGAATGCTGAAGAAGCATTGAAAGGCTGTTTGGTTTCGTTAAAACATTCCTTTGACCTTCGCGAAGGCGTCACTGACGTCAAAGTTATCTAGGTCAGTGACGTTTGAGTCGGCGCTGGGTCTGTCTGGGCGATGTCGTCAAAGCTGATTCCAGACTTTGGTTACGCCGGCGGAGAGTGTGGTTGGGGAATACCCTCGCTCCGCTGGGAGAAATGCGTGTTCGTTTTCATGTAAAACGGTCCTTATTTTTGTCGATTATAACGAAAATCGGAATGTGTCTATATATTTGAGTAAAACTCCACAATATAATTTTTTTTAAAATTCATTTCAACCACTTTCGAGTTATTATATGTAACAGATCAGTTCTTGGTCCTCCCAGCCTCCTCTCCAATGGGTACCGGAGTTATTTTTTGGGGGGTTGGAGGGGGTTAAACCGGTCAGCTTTTGAAGCTGACCACTCACCTATTCCGAATGTAGAGGTTAAGAATTCGTGTAGCTGTAAGTCTGTCGACGTGGTGCTTAGGTAAGTACCAAGGAAAACTTTGCCTTTACCCATATATGATAAGGAATTACATTTAGCAACATGAAATATAATGCAAATACAATGTCAGTGTGTCTGCTCATGAATTTGTAAGGTGAGACTGAGTAATACTACAAATATGTCGGCTGGTTTCCGTGTTTATATTCAAGCCCGGAATCTCCCGAATTTAAAACTTGGAAAAGTTGTTAAAGACTCGTAGAATAATCATCAAAATTTAAAAGTTGTTAGATGTATGCACACGTGACCGCGTTAAGATAACTTCCCAAAACGTTACGAAAATTTAATTATATTTATACATACCTACACTTATTTTATAATAAATTAATCTGTGCCATGTCATACCGTGGAGAAAGTCTTTAAGTTATCAAGAACTTAACAATTACTTTTATTACACTACATGATATTATCAGATATTCATACTACTGTGTTATGAAATCATCACATTATGTCTGTTTCCTGTTTTGATCATATTTACCGTCTTGCTACCTCCACCTTGATTATGGAGGCAGCAAACACACCTGAAACGTCGGTAAACTTCAGAGTACACGGCGCAACATCCAATAAGGCATCCACATTTATGAATTATTTTCGTTTGTTGTTGTGCACATTTATTAAGTTTGATTGACTATAAGCGTGGGGCGTCTAGAAACAAGAATAGATGGAAAAGTATTGTTGGCTCTTGCTTACACTTGCGCGAAAATGTTCATTAATAGAACGACGTGTTCGATAATTGCGTAAGTTCGGTTTAGTTGTCTTCTTTGGAAGAAGGAAGCTTCTCAGAATATTCTATACAATTTAATTAATAAGGAAATTGAAATAAAATTGTAAATTTGTATGTATATATAAGTAGGCTATGTGTATAAAGTATCACAAATTATGACGTGAAAAGTTGGTTAAATCGGTTAGAAGGTGGAAATTATTTTCTGGAACGCACGTGATAATGTAAACAAATATTTGGTTTAAAAAAGTCTTCGACGACATGGTTAATTTTACAGTTAAGTGATTAAACCGTACAGGTTTTAGAATGAATATTATCATTTAGTAGATATGATTTCGCCATATACAAGCTAAAATTTAACGTTACAGTGATTCTTGTTCATTTTAATTGAAACGAAAACTATCAAGAGCTGTATGTTCTTTAGACTTGAGGATGACTGTCTTCTTGGTTGTTGCGCCGTGTAGTCTGCCAGAATGGCAGACTAACAGCCGTGAACACCTTAAATCCTTTCTTTTTAGACATTTTTCACAATATCGAAACTTAAGAACCTGTGCTTAATGTCGATGACTTGTTCCTCCTCAGAAGGTCGTACTGCTGGTAAAATATTGAAGGAAGACCGAGAGTAGGTATCATCCATTTGGATAAAATTCTGATTACGTCACGCTTCACACAAATCTAAAGAAAATTAAGATGTCTTTTGGGATGTTGCGCAGAGCAGTCTTACAAAACTTGACCGGCATTTCAAAGGTGTTTGCGGTCTCCATGCTTATTGACTCCATCATGAGGGTGATCATCGCCCTGATGATGGAGGCAGTAAGCACATTTGAAAACGAGTCATCCTCACACTCAACGCCTTAAGAGCTTAAGTCCCACACAGAATTGTGTGGATTTTGAAGATGTCATTGGATTCGTCTGTAATTTAGTCACTATTTAAACACACTGAAATTTTCAAGCAGGACGTTAGTAAGGTTCCGAAGGAGACGCTGTTTTCTGGAAATACTTACGTGACATTGGCAGAGACGGCGCAAAATACAGCTACTACAATGGCGGCGCGCAGTGTGAATTTCATGGCGTTGGGTGTATGGTTCAACGAAGACTCCGGCGAAGTATGCGACTGAGTGAACGAGGCTTGACCTGTGTTTAAGTACCCCGGTTTATCTCTCTACTTTCAAAGCAATTTGGAGATTATTTTCACAGGAGGAAGTTCTGGTTGTCGAAAACAAATGGTTGAAGGTGAACAGGGCAATTTGCCACCCAGTTGTTCGGCGAAGCAAATCTTTGGAAATCCCATATACACCGCGTTCCTACATGATAATGAAATTGAAACATATTTACTGTATATATGTATATTTAGTAATATGTTGTAACCGTTCATCAATACCTGTACTGGTGTATGCTAATTCTATACTTGTAAGAAACCCTAGTGCTAGGTCGTAAGGTTTCGTATTAGCCACTTATTCTCCTGTTGTTCTTGTGTTAGTTTATGATTCCTTTGTATTTCATTTATATTCTGGAATATTGTAAGCTTGGGATCGGAAATGGATAGCCGATACTAAGTGATGTAGCGGTACCTGAAGTACGTGGGAACGCAGAGGTTTTAGGAATTTCCGGACTTGGAAACTCCCTTGTACCTGAATTATCTCCTCTTAGCCTAAGTGGATTTTGTCGCTCGTTAGCGATGCCCTTTAGAATTAAGAGTGCGGGAGGAACTCCCTGAGGATTGGTTGGGAAAGGGGAGGTCCTTCGAACCGAACCTGGACTCACACCAGTTAGAGTTGATGTTACATTTCCTTTTGGGCAAAGCTGGGAATTTTGGTTGTCGAGCGGTAAGGGTGCTTACGGTATAAAAAGGGGTTATTTTGGCCGCAGAGGGTTATTACGAGATTGCATTACATTACATTAAAAGTTACAGTATTAAGAAAGGAGGTGATTGAGAAGTCAGTGTGTGGCTGTGCATTTGGGAGGATTGTGAAATTTAACGAAGTGTAAAATATCAAGGATTGGACTGCGTGACGTGGGATCAGCATATGTAGATCAACGATCACGTAGCTCCTAAATAAATTGTGCGTTATTTCCAAATCAATCCGAGTGTTCAATCTGGCTGTTACGAACTGGTCGTGTCACCGAATGAGATGGACACCAACCAGCTGAGCTGAAGAAAAAGAACCCTGAGAGATCCCGACGACCCAACAGTCCCTACCAGCCGCATCGTAGTGGAATCTGCGATCAGCAAGGACGGAGGAGAACGGTTACAATGTTTAGGTTACGGTATTCTGAGTTGTGACACCGTATGGTATTTTAAGTGGTTACCAACGTTTCGGAGGGACCTACTGCTTTCATTTGTAGGGTCTCGTTGACCTGTAACCACCTACAAGAAGACTGCATAGGTTCGCAATCTAGATGAGACCGATATGTACTCTAGGCGCATCATAGCCTCAGACCGTATTACTTATTTAGCTAGACAATAAGCCCGTATATCTATCATTTTTATAAAGACTTAGTTGTATTAAATATGCATTGCTGTGTGTTAAAACGTGCACTTTCTTTTATTCTGGCCCCTGTTTGCTGCCAATTTATGGGAATATATTGTGCTAATTGTCAAGTTTTGAATTCACTTTCAAACGGTGGGAATATGAGACCATGAATAATACTTCAAACGGACATCATCTTGGGCGATCACAGGAGCTTGGATAACGCTTTCGATGACACAATGATTATTATTGTGCCAGTGTTTGGCTAAAGTGAGTGAGCTTTTAGGAAATGCTGTATAAGACACAACAGTATTTGATCTTATCAATATCTGCTAAATTTATCCAGCATCTCTCTCGTTGAGACTTGCTGTTTCTTGAACAGAGACTGGAAGTGAATTGAAGTGGTCTGGTAGATGTTTACCAACGTTTCAGAGGTCACACTGCCTCCGTCATCAGGGCGATTCATCACGGAGGCAGTGTGACCTCTGAAACGTTGGTAAACTTCTACCAGACTACACAGCGCAACAACCCAGAAGACAGAAATCTTCATACTCACCGCTGTGAAAACCTCAAATCATACAAATTTAGTGTAATTCTCCTATATTAAATTTAATTAAATCCACTCTAGTTCGACCTCTGTTAGTCGAAATCTGAAGGAATGATACAGTTAAATTAGTCATAAAGAAATAGGGTGTGGATGCGCGGAGTAAATTAAGCTGGCTCATGAAGCATTCCAGTGGCGGACTAGTGAACACATTTAATCTTCGGGTTCCATATAAAACAGGGATATTCTCCACAAGTAAGATAATATGAAATGACGATCAGTATCTAGCCTACTATATGGCGCAACATCTGAGAAGGCAGCCATCTTTATGCAGAAACTATCTTTACCGGAACTCGAATCCAGACAACCCTTCAGGGTTGTGCCTTTTGTCCGTGTAATCTTTTCGCGGAAGGAAATAGTTTCTTCCTTGACACAGTTCTTTTATCGTGGTTAGTAACAAATCTGCAGAAACCATCCTCACTGGGACGCGTCCAAGGACACTTTTTCGAACATTTGACATTCCCAAAAACTTTTTCAGGTTTCAGGGCACATGTATGCCAAGTTTGGAGTAAAGTGGTTTATTCCTAAAAAAAGCTACCTGCTCACAATCTATATGTAAAAATATTATCTAAATATTTTATTTTTTACGTTCCGTTTTGAAGACTGGTATCAGTGTCCTCGGTTCGGCTAGTTCACAATTTCCCCTTGAGGCTTTGGGCCTATCGGTCGTCCCCGTGTCTCAGTTCTGCTAAGGCCAGCAAACCGCCGATAACACTGACCTCTTTTAAGCATTTACTGCAAACTGGAGATAAGTTTGCCCTTCACGTTTTGTTTTATGTTGCTTTGTGAATTGTATTTAACCCTTTTTCATATGGGAAATGCGTAGTAAAATTCACATATTCTTATGAATTGAGACACGCCAGGCCGGCTCGTGTATAGCCCATACAATTATAAGGTTCCTGATGCGCGGATTACGCTTGATGTATGACTTGACACCAAGGTACGAAGTTTGGCTCAGAAATAACGCATCTGATTTGTACGTAATCCGAGGTAGGGTACCAGGTTCGGTTACCTGAAACTAAATCCTGCCTTAATACAGCATCGCTAAATGAGTCGTGATAGACCAACTGAATACATCAGACGAAGTCCTTTTCGGGGACCTGATAGTCGTTCAGCTGTTCAAGAAATCCCCTCCACCCACCCATTGGACTCTATTCTGAACCAATTGAAACCAGTCCGGATCCCCGCACCCTAAAATGTGGTTGTGTGTTAGAAATGTATTAGGCCTACTTACTACTAAGTTGAGTTAATTGCTACAAGTAATTAAATTCCACGAAAAAAATAATTACGATGATTTATCCCAAATATATATAATTTGGTAACTAAATTTCAATTTACTCTGGTATTCGTTATCAAAAACACAGGCCTGCCATAGACGAATAAAAATTTCCGAAAAACGCATATTAAAAGCACTTACGCCCACGTACGTGTATTAAGTGTAATTGAATGACTGTGTCAGTAAGCGGGATGCCCTTCGGATAGCGCATGTATATCGTAGAGTGATGACGTTCATTTTGTCGAGGTATGCGTTAAAAGTTTAAAGTAGTGATAGCCATGGAAATAACGAAGTATTCTTGCAACATTTTGATAAATGGAACATCGCAAGATTGGTAATGTACAGTGTTAATTCTTTGTCAGTAAATGTTTTACGTTTCAAAATGCATAAGTCACTTAGTTTGAATACGTTTATTGTGTGCATACATGGCAGAATTATCTAAATCTTTGGTTTGCCCCTACAACACACCACGTGTCTGTTCACACGTGTAAACGGATCAAGGTGACAGCATTAACACGTGATCACTGACACTGCGTATCGAGACTTGTTTGTGATTGGTTGGATTTGGAGTCTCTGAGTAGTCTGCTGTACATACTTCGTGTACCTGCTGGTGATACAAATCTATTTTACTGGTTCTTATCTGAAGAGTATCTAATGAGTGTAGTTGAATGGTTTAGAAAATGGATCCAAAATAGAGAGGACAATGGTCAGAGAATAATCTTTAAGAAGCTGTTAACTGCAGTTGAATGAAGTTTGTTAGTTAAATGTGAGTTCATTGATTTCGAGTATGACATTTATTTCAATCAAATTTATATATATATATATATATATGTGTGTGTGTGTGTGTGTGTGTGTGTGTATTTAGAGTTTTAGGACTTAATAAAATAAGATTTTATTAGATTGTCGCGTAAGAAAGATTATTATTTAAATTCTGAGATATGCCCATAACTGAATCATACAATACCTTATACGGGAATTTCCCACCCTTAGACTCTTAAGTTTCTCCTGTCTTAGGAGAAATCATGTTTTTGGACCAGTGCAGCGCTATTAGAGATAGTAAGGTACCTGGACCAGATATGGGTATATTAGTTTTGGAAAATTTTCTAATTTTTTATACTTAAGATGGAGTGCTGCAACTTAAGGGGGATGTTTTCTTTATTGGATTTGGAATTAAGTGATATGATTGATTTTTATGTAAAATAAGTCGGAAATATGATGCTAAAACAATTCAGTGACATTTATGTTAATATCGGCAAATGAAAAGAAGTTTCCTGAAACTGCACCCTTTTGATTTAAGGTTAAGGGCCAGATATGAGGTAGGCCTGTAGGTACATCACTCTCTTACCGTCTTATGGCCAGCTCTTCGTAATCGATTCGTTAGCTGCTGTTAATTTATATTATCATTAAGTTCAGTTAGGTTGATTAAGGTTATATTAGGTTAGGTCAATAACGCACATGCGCAGACGATCATTTGGATTGGGCAGATTATAATTGTGTTATTTTTGTTAACCAAGGAAATTTTAATTTACTGTAAAATGACCTGAAAATTGTCTAATATGTAAAATGGAAGGCGAGAGACAGCGCATCTCCAAAAGAGCGGTGCTCAGAGAGACTAAGTATAATACCCCCATGAATCGCTCATAGCCCTGATGTTGGAGGCAGCAAGGATTTCTGCAATATTGGTAGACTTCTACCAGACTACCCGGCGCTGAACCAAGAAGACAGCCATCTTCACATTTACCGCCTCAGGAACCTCAAATCTTACTTCGGAAAGAATATTATTTTCGTTCTGAAATATGGGGTTATCGGGGAGGTGAACATGTCGATTGTCGTCTTCTGGGTGGTGTCGCCGTGTAGACTTGTAGGTTGCTACGAACGTTGTGAAGGAGCTATATTTGACAGGGAACGTGTTATTCGACGGGGAGGGGGGGGGGGTATTGCAGTAAGCTGGTGCTTCGGGCAGTTGGTTGTGAGGTCGGATGGAACTCAGATTCATGTACATCGGCGGATTCTGCTACCGCAGTGTCAGTTATTTAGTTATGTTGTGGAAAGTAAATTAAACTTGATCACACTTCAAATGTTTATTTCCACATTTTGGCTTACACAGGCACTGCTGAAACATTAACAATAGTAATAGAAATTCTACAAAATCTACCGAAGATTAATCGGTTTAGAAGATGTGAAATCCTATAAATATTGTTTAGATTTCATAATATTACCAATAAAATTATAACACTAAAATCTAAGTATTTAATAATGAAGTAATTTTTAAACGTATCTTTTATGTCACTGTATGGCGTGATGTTCTGGAGGGGGGATTTATACGCCATGACAGTGGACTTTCACTTCCATTTTGGTTCTAACTTGCGGGTTACACACGTAACAATATCCTTTAAATGATATGGAATAATATGAAACACACACGGCACTTGGGTAACTTTGCTCCATTGAGCCTGTCTCCATTTTAAGAAACTGAGTGCTGTGTTACGAAGATACACACGATGCTTCAACTAAACATTACTCAAGTTAACTAAACTACGGCTAAAACCATGCAACGTTATATAATATTGCATAAACATTTAAAATATATAGCACTTAAAACTATGACATGATTACATGGGCTATGTGGAGTACTTTTACTAATTATTTTATAACTTGATTTGACGCTGGGCCATTTTATTCCATATTTGGTTTTAATACATTAATTGCGCTTCAGAAAGCTGTAATCCACTTGTTTGTTGAGGATGTTTATTTATTTGAACAATGTAATTAAATTTTTTATATAATAATATGCTTACTTTTTTTGTACTTAATATGCTCGAGATATGTATACTCTACAGCACTAAATTTTTGTGATATAAAGCAAGCTACGAAATAATAATTTGAATATTCATTATATAGATATTTATTAGAATTATACCGATACAGGTGTTATTTTTTAGTAAATAGCTAAAACTAAACTTTACCTGCTACATTATGAGGGTGCCATAGTTGTTAAATGTATGATTAAAGATATGGCTTTGGTATAACAAAATTATCTTATAGTCCATAACCTGCTGGACCTAATTTACCTCCTTTGCAAGAAATATGCGTTCCATGCGTGTTGATGAACTATACTTAAAAGCATAATATTACCGTAGTTACATTAATGAATATACTACACAACTAAAAATGAATATTGTATTGTATTTTAGAATAATTAATTCATCCCATACAGTGGTTTGTAATAATACCTTGGCTTTTCCACCATATAACTGTCACATCAAACGTGAATTTTCCTACGCTAATTATAATATGCTGTTAGCAATTCGTTAGTCTTTCTAGTCGTTACTGGAAGGACGTCGATTGTTCGACTGAGGCGCCGTCATATCTGTGTCTCGGAGCTTCCTGCAGGCGTCGGCCGACTAACAATGCTGTCGGCTGTCTCGGAAGTTTTGACGTTGGCCACCAAGCCACTGTCTACGGTATCCAGGACGCGATCGGCGTCCATCCGGGCTAAGTCGTCTTTCGTCAGGTGGTACACTATTCCTGCTCCATACGCGTCGCCGAGTACGTTGATGGAAGTCCTAAGGCGGTCCCTAAAGCAACACAGCATTCCCTTTTGAAACATGGCTAAAGTAAAATATTTCCATGTAACGTTTTCCTTGTGCGTAATCACCACGGACTGTAAATCTATATGTATTGTTAACTTCAGCACTGGCTGGATGTATCTACGGTGCCTCTTTGTAAGAGATTCGTTGAGTGTGAACGTGGTTACGAAAGTACAACAAACATATGTTAATATTCAGAATGAAATTAGGAGAGCCATATCAGGAAGTGAATTTCACTGTTTGTTGCTGTCAGAGGACATTTCTCCGGTCTGGCTATTATGACCTTGGATTATATTAGAGCAAAAATATCTATGGTCATTGTTGGACGACATTGTTATGTAAGACGAAGACGCTACAGTGATCTTTAATAACAGCACAAGAATGGACTGGGAAGCAAAAATGAACCGGGATCACATTTGCGCAAGAACGACCTAAGTGAGGTGGCGTGAGGAACAAATTTATTATTACTGTTATTATCGAAATTGAGAGATTTGAGGTTTTCACAGCGGTGAGTATGAAGATTTCTGTCTTCTGGGTTGTTGCGCTGTGTAGTCTGGTCGATATTCATCGCCCTGATGACGGAGGCAGTATGACCTCTGAAACGTTGGTAAACATCGACTAGACTACACAGCGCAAGAACCCAGAAGACAGAAATCTTCATTATTGAAATGCTTTAGCACTGTGGTGCGCGATTGTTGGAGAAATTTAATAATATTGAATTTCTGCACGACCTGACTTCTAAACCAGGATTCCCCACGGGTTACATCATCCTCAACAGGTGACAACCGTTTAAGTGTCGCTAGTGTTATTTTCGTTGACGTGACTTCGCCATAGGCGGCATACTTACAGCAGCCAGTCGACGGCGAACAGCAGTGAAATGTCCGAGGTTGGCAGACCTAGAGCTGACAGCACCAGCAGCATCGTGATGAGGGCTGCGCTAGGGATGGATGCTGCCCCCACACTCGCCAATGTCGCAGTCAAGCTAAAGAAACAAACACTTTCGCCTTAGTACGGCCACAGACAGCTGATTTAGGACACGGATGGGTGTGTGCCCGCGGGTTTTCGCTGTTCCGAGATGATAATGGCGTTTGACATAGGCACTCCCACAGCTTGTTTTGATAAAAAATTTAAAAAAAGAACACGGAAAATGCAGAAGTGAAGAATAGACTCTGTCTGCGGCGTCGAAAGACCTTAGGAAGGAGAAAGGGATAAAAATACAAGAAAATGAAGTTGAATGAGTTAAAATGTCGGCCCGGAGACCGGCGAGAAAGATTGTGATTTTTGTGGTCTTTCTCAATCCCGTCATGGGAAAAATGCCGAGATGGTGCCCTAATAGTAGATCACAGTCACATTCTTGACGATCGTTTCCAGTTCATTTATTATTCACTAATCGTCCTATCTTTCGACTCCACGTAATGTGGGATATTACGACGTTGATTAATGAGCCAGAAACAAACAGATCAAAAATATGAAGTTGCTTATGGTGACAGTGCTAAATAATAATAATAATAATAATAATGACAACAACAACAACATGATGAATGACTTTGATTTGCACTTGTATTCTTATCCAAAACGAATTGATATTCTCTGGGTTGTAAAAGCATACACTTTTTTTCCTTGTTCCACAATTTTTTGTACCTGGAAAATTAAAATTACTTGAGCCTTGAAGAACGTTTTTTTTTAATTTTGGTAAATTATTACATTATATTCGGGAGGGAATTTGATTTAAAATACGTCATACACGTATTTTCTCGAACATAAGCCGCACCCAAATTTTGAAAAGTTCTGTTGAAGGCAGAATGTGAGTCTTATGTTAGGAAAATTCGACAATTGTTGTGCCAGTATTTCAGGCGAACGGACGCCAAGTTTGACCATTTTTGAAAATATGACATGTGCTTAGTATTCACCTCAATTGGTATTTACTTTGCAAAGTATTGCTTATACCGTTTTGTAGAAGCTCAGAGGGCTAAAATGTTTGTTAAGGAAAGCTAACATTCCTTATAGGTCATCATGTTACTTCTCGTTTCTTTGCATCGTGCAAAGCGTAGAAGTGTGCGCAGACCAGCAGTTTGACGTCTGTTCAAGCCATTGGATTACTGGACGAAGGACATGTCCCACCGGCCAGCTCTTTATGACAATTTCGATCCTCAGTTGGGGTTTCACCTTTGACCTTCTGTTTCGCTGATTTCCACAGCAAAGTAATTAACATTTACTTTCTATAATTTGAGGTTCTCAGGGTGGTGAAGATGTCGACGTCTTTTAGGTTGTGACGCCACCAACTTTTCGTAGAAACGTGTCGCCCAACCCGGAAGATCTCAGTGAAATTTTGCTTTATCCCTTACGCTCTTCGTTTCTTTACCTGACTGTGATGACTTCTCCGATTCCGAGAGGGATGCCGTTCATCTGGGCTATGAATATGGCGGCGACAGCTTCGTACAGCGCAGTGCCGTCCATGTTGACTGTGGCACCAACTGCCACTACGAATCGTGTCACACGGCTGTCTATCTTGTTGTTCTCCTCCAGGCAGCGGAATGTAATGGGCAGGGTGGCAGCACTGCAAGCACATAATTTGCGCTGCTGAGTTTAAGATGTCTGGAGTTTTACATGATTAATGTAACTAAGCATTACAGCGGATACATTATTATTATTGTTGTGTTTATATTTGATATATTATGATTTGATTTTAAATAGTTTAAATTCAGGACAATTTATTATAGATGACGAAATTTCAATGCTTGATTCTTGCCATTCCATCATGGACACTCCTGGTATTCGTGTGCCTACAAGGTAAATAAGAAAATTGTTTAATTTTCAGCATGATCAGTGCTTCGAAATATAATCCTCCACATATCTGCGTGATTGCTGAAAATAACATGCAGATTTTTGAGGACATTTTCTCGATACGAGAGAATGTTCAGATCGATTATATGTATTTAGATTTGCTGTGTTTTACTTGTTCTTTATTGTTTTATGTTCTTTGTGTCTATTTTTTTATGTCTCTGAAATTGGCCTTTGTAGCTGTTGGTTAGCATCTTAAGAATGAGCAATCAAATTGAGTTGTTATTAATGTACCAGCGTTCTATTTAATCCCTGCGCTAAAGTATCTAAAAGTAACTGTAGGTTAGAACAGAGTTCCGTAACTGGTGTGCCGCGAATTTTTTCAAGAAATTGCATATTCGCACATTACAATTCAGAAAACGATAATTCTGATCTTTCGTCGTTATCGATAACTTATGTTTTGTTTTGCTTTCAGCCTAGTCAACAACTTTCTTTACAACTTATCTCTCAAATATCTGTTTTAATATTAGCCTCCGATTATTCCCAGAGTTCCGACATTACCTCCGTTCACGTTTTCAAATTAAATTCTGTGTGATTTCTCTTTTCTCACCCGTCAGTCATCGTTTCTGCTTTGATAATTCTGATAACAGTGAATATTCTAATGTTGAAGCTACTCATTATGCAATTTTCTCGAGATGTTTGCGTGTTTCTGAAGGGTTACCTTGAAGCAGTGCCCAATGCGGTCACCCACGCCTGCAGCATTCCTTGGAAGAAGACGGCTGGGTTCTTGCGAGTGAACATGTAGTAGATGCTAGGCAGAGTGATGAGGGCGTGTACTAACAGACCGAGTATGACGGTGATCATGTACAGGCCGAGCTGCTGTGCGGTGGCCGCTAGATTCTCAATACTCATTATCTTCCCCGCGATCAGACACAGGATCCCGAATGGAGAATACCTGCACACAGACACAACGCATTCATCGACAGTTTTATAGTCAAAGAGAGTGGCGTATCTGTGCTTCCCTTTCAATTCGAAGTTTTCATGCTTGCCATCGTAAGAAGTCTGGACTCAAAGGTGATACTTTTATTCTGATTACGTTTGCAACAGTTGATTTCTTGTAGTAGTGAACTTATGTGTGCACCATATCATTCCGATGTCAGTGAGGAAATTAGTTAACATTTACTTTGTTGTTTTGTAAGAAAAATTATTGACTGAAATTGTAAAATTAAGATTTTAAAATTTAACACGAAAACGTACCGATAAAATAAAGACGAACTTTTCATAACCGTACGAATTAGTAAGCCTCGACTTTCCAAATAACAAAAAATCAAGAATTACCTGTGTATGAAAATGATGTTTTAAACTTGCCGAATAAGGGACTTAAGCTTGCCCTAAAGTTACCAGTTTACAGTAAATATCAAAAGTCTGTACACTTTTTCATATCAATATATTATAAATAATCCTTACCACATGACTACACCCACCAACTTCATGACAATATCATTGAGCACAACGAAGAAATCCACCATGAGCCTGGCTTTGGTCCCCATCTGTCCTGCCAGGAGTCCAAATGCCAGACAGAACACGATCATTCCTGCAACGAGTACAGTAACTTACTGGAGGCGGCTCTGACATGGTTACTGTATCAAACGGAAATAATACTGATTCAGACTTAATACTGGTAAAGTGATGTTAGTTAACGATCATTTATACACTGATAAAGGAGGCGATGTGTTTCTTCGAAACATCAGTAACTACGTTTAAGGCTACGCGATTGCATAATAGGGAAGACCACAGTCCGATTTTCACCGCCGTAAAAAAACTTGAACCTCGACAATCTGTCAATAAATACTTTATGAAATATTGATTTTTCAGTGAATCATGAGCCTCATCTGGTACGGAATTTATCAAAGTATCTTATAAGACGGTATTTTTACATGGCGTACTAAGGATACTGCAGTAATGTTGTTCTTCTGGGGTTTGGCGCCACGTGGAATCGTATGCAGAGTCAGCGTTTCGGACAGACGTACTGTCTCTATCTGCAGCCCTGTAAGCCCCAAACATGGAGACAGTATGTTACTCCGAAGCGTTGGCATCTTCCTACGAGTCTACACGGCGCTGAAACCGATAAAATCATCATTCCTACCCCCATGGGAACCTTACGTCTCACATCAGTAGTTTACCACAGAAACTCGAAAATCGCCTTAAATGGCACTGATTTCAGATATTCACTCCGCGTGAGATCGGATGTGTCTGGAGCAATGTAAAGAAGTATAAATATAGAAGTGTTTAACCGGACAAATAAGACGTTATCTCAGTTGAAGGTTTAAACAGAGCTCTCACCCATGACATTGGTGCCGTCCTTGTAGACTAGCTGCGGTTTAAGGATGAAGCCGGGCGAATCATCAGAAGAGTTAGGCTCGTGGAACACTAGTGGCTTATTTACCTGTGCACACAGAGAACATTAGTGTAGGAACTGATCACATTACATCGCGGTTTTTCGAGCCAACACCTTGCCCACGGCGTGTTTGATATAGACATTTCGTGAGTAGGCTTATCACTTCGAGTGATTGTTTTCATTATACTGACGGATTTTTAAATTAGTTCAGAAAGCTGGATCTCGCTAAAGACGCATTTTATCTGATCGGTCTTCAAGTGTATGGAATACCACTGAACCATTAAAAAGTGAAACAGAAGGCTTAAATTCTGGTTTTGATCCGCTGAGTTCACACTATTATAAAAAAAATACAGGAATTTTATGAACAGGGTGTGTAGTTTGTGGAATAGAAAGATATAACAAAGTTTAGTAAGTGAAAGTATCTTTTAAACCCCAAAATATTAATATATATTATGCTTTTACGTTCAGAATTCTTAATTTTTATAAAGTTTAGTTGTGTTTGTTACGCAGATAGCATTGTTCAGAGTAGACCAGTTAAAGAAATAGCTTGAGTGTGTAAGTAAACTCCACTCATGTGGTTCAGGATTGGGTCAAGTGGGTTCTTTTGTTCAAGGCAACAAATTTTCGGTTCCTATAAAGGGCGTGTAATTTATTGAGTAGCTGAGCGACTCTATGACTTTTAAGGAGGACTTTGCTGCTTGAAATCGTTTTATTAACGATGAGAAAAACATATTTGTGACTGCTGTAAAATAATTGTTTCCCGGTTTTATTCCGTCGTCTTTACAGTATCTGCTGGATATTAGGATACCGTACTGTAGGAATATAATGCACGAAGCGAACTTTTCCACTGCAGTTTTGTCGCTAGATTTAATAAACAAAGCGACGTATTTGGTATCTACCTTACGGCGCCACGGCGATAAATAACAGAAAGTATGGGTCATATACCCTTTAGTTTTTTTAAATCTGAATTTAATGGTAAATCAGTGTTTGTTTATTTTACCATAACACCGCGGAAGCTGTTTGTTACGTGTGTGCTAGGCGATGAATTAATTGTATGTAGGAAGTGCAGTGCGTAATGTATACATACTCATCACCTTTTTGTAACTGGTTTGCACCTGCTGGAAGCATGCCTGCATCAAGTTGTCCGGAAACAGGTTTCTGTGTAAAAGAAATACATCAAATAATTATTTCTCTTCATTTCTACAAGAAGAGTTAGACTTAGGTTGCGGTCTCCCGCGTGTGTTTCCCGCACTATCATATCCTCACATACTTGAAATTTTCCTTGAAATACAGAATATTTTATTCAGTTTCCTCATTTTGCATTTATTTCAAACTTAATTCGCCTGGCCAAGGTAAGTTCAGAAAACGAAGAGAACTTACACGCCAGGTTAACTGACGGTGCCTTGAGAATCTGAATATCACATAATTTAACCGGTTGATACTTCTGTGCAAACATTTATCCATCCATATGATATAGAATAGTATTGTTGTTGTTACAATTGGCTGAGACTGTCTCGATGCAGTTGGTCGTCTTACTGGGTCAATTGTTCATCCCCCGGGATGATAGATGGGTAAATATGAAACAGCAGTGAATTGATACGGACAGGGAAATCCGAAATATTCTGAGAAAAATTTGTCCGAATGCAACTTTATGCGTTACAGATTCCACATGGACTGAGTTAGGGCACAAACCAGGATGTCCACCGTAAGAAGCCGTGGATTAAACTGACCGACAATGGCGGCTGATTTTTGTACGCTTCTGTTCATCTACTGTCACATAGCCTGATGAGCCAGCCAGCTTCAGAGAGCTTGTGTATGAAGTATTAGTCACTTTAAACGTGATTCAGACCTTATTATATCCAGAATGGCGTCCAGTGTAGACACTTTTGTGTCAGTGGATCCTCCTTCTACGTGCGTCTTAATGCTCGGGTCCCCTGGGTGAATAACAAGCACCATGAAGATGCCCACGATGGCCGCCAGGATAGTGGTGACTATGTAGTACAAGAGGGCTATCGAACCCATGCGACCCGAAGATTGGGCGTCCAACTGCGCCATGCCTACCAACACAAGGACACGAGGACGTTTGCAATCACCACTGCAGTGTTACAGCTGACGGGTTATAAAAATTTGGAGGCCAAATTACAATCATTGCCAATAGACATTTAGATTTTGTTGGTATCACATTAGGTGTAAACGCAAGGTCTATGTCTGACTGATTGATCAACTCCACAGTGCAGAACACATCTTGAGAATTTCAGTTGGTCAAGAAATTTCCTGCCTGAAATTTTTTATCGTGTTCTCTAGAGCCCACCACCAGACGCTGTCTCGACCGACTTGAATTCACTTCATGCCTTCACACCATGTTTATAAGTATATTGTAAATTGTGATATTTTATAGCAGAAAGCCAATAAATATTGCTCAGAGAATAGTAATTATAGGATGAAAACTGAAGGTTCGTAATTATAAAAATTGTTTTTGTATTTCTGAGACTTTTGTTCGAAAAACTTGAAGGGAAGACTACTTTAGAGGGGCTGGATTAATCTGACTCCGGACAGGCACAAGTAACAAGCTCTTGTGAACACCATAATAATTTTTCGCGTTGCACAAAGCATAGATATTCCGCTAGAAATGAGGTATGGCTAGGTGCAGACGTAGACGAACCCAAGTGTATATTTACGTTTTGTCACCAGAATATAGTATAAAATCATGTCTTAAAGTCGGTTAATACATCTCTAGAAAATGTAGTAGGTATTATATTTGGGTACAACGGTAACAATTCAAAATTACAGTCACTCATAAATTAACATAATTTACTTCGGGGAATGCTTGCTACCATTCAGCTGAGAATATTTTATCTTCTCTTCTCCCTTCTAGAAATCTAGAACATTAAAATACACGAAAGTGTTAATATACCCGGTTTTTTAATGTGTGGGAAACTTTCTTTCGTTTAAATGGATGAATCTATAAACTGAGTGTGTTTAACGAAGGTTGTGCCGAGGAGAATAATTAGAACTAAAAAAAGTAGCAGTAGGGCGGAGAAAATTACACAGTGAAAAACTTTATAACTGTTCTCTGCGCCAAATATTATAGCGAATAAACTAGGGAGGATTTGGTACGCATGGGAGAGATTAGAAATGCGTGCAAAATTTTAGTCGGATAATCACAAGGAAGAGGTGGAGGTAGTTGTGAGAACAGCATTAAGATACGTAGGGTTGAAGTTAGATCCTGTGGAATGGATTAAGCCGGAAATTTCTTGACGAATGGCTAACGAAGATCACCTGCGACGAGTGAAGAGATGATAAGAGGAAGGATGAACATCTTGAGCAGTCGCATCAGGATCTCGCCAGGGAAGGAGATGAGCATTATGGATTCGTCAGAAAAGGTGGCGAGGCGACCCAGAAACCCAATTACCACGCCGACCAGCACCCCGCCGATTGTGAGTGTGAGGAGAAGGTTGGTTCGCACCCAATCCAGCACCTGCAAAGAAACGCATCACGCTCCATTCATCTTGTTACTTCTTCATTTATGGCTTAGATAACGGTTATGCTAACAGCGAATCACAAGATCAAATTATGTATAAACCAGAACGAATGTGAGAGGAAGCTGTAATGATCTAATTTAAGATGAGACTAATTCGAGGTACTATTCCGGTATTTGCCTGGAGAGGCCGAGTTGAACTGCTAAAATCCAAAATCTAGATATCCAGAGTCTAGGTCGAGATTTGAATGCGGGACACCCCGAATATGAAGCAGGAGTGCTTTGAACTCGACCGGAACGTTACTTCGGTTACCAATTGTATCGGCTTTGGTATTCTTCTGTTTAAATACGAATTTGTCATTCAAATGTTTCGGGTTTCAACTCGAATATATACAAATATATACAAGTAAAAAACAATACAACAGCCTAATTACAAAATAGTTGTAACACAAGTGTTATTTACGCCTGCAAAATGAGTTTATTATATAATAATTACGTATTAGTGATAGCTGCTTTGCAGCCATGACATGTTTCGCCAACGTTAAGTACCACAGGCCCTTACTTCTTATCATGATCGCCTGTCACCTGATGATGATCACGTGTTAGACCGACACATGTTGTAAGTATAACGTAGTTATCATTAATACATAATTAATATATAATACATTTGTTATGTAAACCAAAATAATTTTTTCCCTGTAGCTCTACAACCCATTTGGGTCTCGGCCGCCTCTTTTAGAAGTTTCCTGACCTTTTTGGACATTTGGTAGGACTCCTTGGACGAGTGATCAGCCCGTTGCAAGGCCTCTACCTGTACACAGGACATCTATGCCTTGAGTGGGATTCGAACCAACGGTCTCAGTTTCCAAGCGCACAAGGAACACACCTTAGACCGCCAAACGAAACTCATATCAGATTACACAACAGGATACGTCTCTTCAGGATAATGAATAATGTGCAACGTTACTGCTGTGTGATGAATGAACCGTTCCCTCGTTCATTTACGAAATCAACATTTCAGTGTAGCAAATGACTCAACAGACGTAATATCATGTGTAGGTATTGCTATGCGATGTGGGTGGCAGAAATATTTTACGTATTATATTTTCCGTGTGCATAACAATTTTGTAGTATATTTTGGTATTGCATAAAGCATTACTGACAATAATTTTATTATTATTATGTGGTTATTTGTTAGTAACTTTCTTATTAATATTGTCTTTCGAACAGAATGAAGCAACAGTTACGATTCGAATTTACGTTAAGGACTCTGTTCGAATCCCAGCCGGGACCCTTTTAGCTACTGCTTCTAACACGTGATTTTAAGAGCGAAACCATTTGCAAATCGGCTTGAATTTGGGTTTTTAATGATTTATTTTATGCTATATATCATTTGGCATTTGATTATTCTGGACATAGATAATAATACATCTATATACGGGTTTGCCAAGGCCGCTTAATTTGTAGAATGAAAAGCTTAATAACAAAAAAGTACGTGGATAGCATAAAAAGATAGCACTTGAACACAACTTGAAATAAGTAGAATATGAGGTTCTCACGGCGGTGAGTATGTAGTCTGGCAGTAAGTATCTCTGAAACGTCGGTATACTTCTAGCCGACTATACGGTGCTACAATCCAGAAGACAGCCATCTTCAAATCGAAAAAATGTGATCTTTTGTACAGATCTCCATATCAGAATATCAGTAGTTTGATTGAAAAGTGTATAGGCCTATGTTAATAGCAGAAGACAGGCACCTAGATCATTGTAGCATTAAGGTCGTATACCAAACGGCACTTACCAAGTCAACTTTTGTCTTGGTAGACGTGTCCATGTTAATCACGTGACTCTGGAAGACTTCCTGTTTGTCGTCATCTTCACCAGATCCCATGTCCGTCCTGTAATAAAAGCATGCCTTCTCTTAGCAGTATTGTTAGCTACGTCGTAAAATGTCGATTTGTTTTCAGTAATGTGAATAAAAAGTAATTATCGTGATAGGAATATAGTTGCTTCTTAATAAGTGCCTATGAGTACCCATTTAATTTCTTCAACATTTACAAAATGTACGAGTCTTAATGCGACTTTGTTTTAAGAGGAACGATGCTAACAGAAACAAAAATGAATTGTGTAATAAGTTTAACTGGTAAAGGGAGTAACTGAATCTAAGAAAGAGAATGTAACAGAACGGAGAAAATTGGATGAAGACGAGTTTCGTAATTTGTACTCCTTACCACATACTGTTAGGATGATCAAATCAAGGGGAATATGGACGGAACACGTAACTTTTGGGAGAGAATTTTACTCTGAAAATTTGAAGGAAAGATAACCACTTCGGAGACATGGGACAAGAATGTTAAAATAGATCTTAAAAGAAGTAGGGTGTTAGAATATGGATTAAATTCGTCTGTTTCAGGATAAGGTCTGGTGGCGGGCTCTTGTGAATGTAATAATGACCATTTATTTCCATTTCCTTACTGTCTGAGCGACTGTGAACTTTACAAGAATGACTGTTCTCCATGGACACGTAACATTTGTTCTTTAGAAGGAGAAATTAAGTGAGCAGTTTGGCATGTCGCATGATGAATTTAGTGATTTTTAGACGTCAGCTAAGAAGTGAGGTTTCAAGTTTTCATGGCGGCGAGTTTTGAAGACTACAGACTTTTGGGATTTTGAGTCATGTAGTCTCGTATAAGTTTAAAGCTATGGAGGCAATAAGCACCTCTCAAACGTCGGCCAACTTCCGCGTGTCTGGAAGGCGCAACATCACAAAAGTCTGTAATTTGTTAAGTTAGTGGAATGCTCGGAGATTGAATGAGGAGGGTAAAACGAGGTTTGTGCTTTTGAGTGGAAACGTCTACGTGGAAGATCGAAAAAATATTGACAGATAACATTAGAACTAACATGAACGAAAATTTTGTGAGCATGAGAGTGGATGGCAGTGGCTCAACACTAGGGCCGATAAAGCTAGCGTTCAATGCGCCGAGATTTGACCTTGATATGGAACTTCCATAATACTGCCCGGAGCAAAAGTGCTAAATAACAAAATCGACTAACTAACTAACTAGATGGCTTACCGAACCCGAAGTTTCATCACCGAATTAACCAAAGCCCTCCACCGGACCCTGTCCTGGGATACGAGGCTTAGTTAATATTTTCGTAACCATGCTTTTTTCCACGGTGAAAGGTTGTTAGCCTTACGCCCAACCCCCAACCTGGAGGACCAGGGTAATCGACGGAGAATATAAAGCACAGTCTTCGGAAGTAGGACATTAAGTTGATTTTCGGCAGATGTTTTATTATTACTATATTCCGGTTACTGTGAACTTTCAGACTTCAGTAACCGGATACAGAAAAGAATATGCGTAAAATTGTTCTTTTGGATTTTGTACATCGCCTAAATTATAAAATCAGAAAGTCACATATTTTCAAAAACTGAATTTTACTTTCGTCACTATTTAAAAACGGGAACAAGAGGACGGAAAACCCATTTGTTGGGCCTCCTGATTTAGCCTGACTCAGACCAGATCTGAGGCTAGAAGATGATCTGGATATTCATGGTTATTAAATTAGCAATCTGAACTCGTATCCATATTAATGAGGATGTAGTGATTAGGGGATAGTAATTTAGCTGCACCGTCTGGTAATTTGTGATAACTGACATGGTAAATACTACTATTTGAAAAATCTAAAGTTTGATTTAAGGAAACCGAAAACTTATTATAGTGATCTCAGAATCCAACTAGTAGACCACATACCTAACCAAATAAATCTAGTCTACTGTCTAGTATAAATTTATGTATTATCGCATTTCATTGCTTCTTTACTTGACATTTCCCGACCAAAATTTTGTACGTATATCTCTTATTGCACATACGTGCCACATATTTCGTATATATAATCTCATTCACCACAAAAATTAAAATGCGATTTTATTTTGACTTTTAGTTAGGACATTGGAACTGACAGTTTTTTTAAAGCGGTTAATGCGAAAGGAAAGCAAGTAACCGCGTTTCTTGTTAGTGGCCGCGCCTACCACAGCAGATGTTTCGTGTTCAAGTTGACGACATACGAGGTGCGATCGGAAAGTTTCTAGACTGCGCCTATGAAAACCCGTACACTTATCTCAGGTATTAAATTTATCCATCACCCTCGAAGTAGTTCCCCTGGGAGTGAACACAACGATCCCAGCGCCGCTGCCAAGCCTGGAAGCATCCCTGGAAATCTTTCTTTGTCAGCCTGTCAAGCACCATCTGCGATTCTGCCTGAATCTCTTCTATCGTCTCAAATCTCCTTCCCTTTAGCTGAATTTTCATCTTTGGGAAGAGGAAGAAGGCACACGGCGAATAAGGAGGGTGCGGCCATTTTTAAAACGTGAATGCCACACAAAAGTTTGTGCACGACCCATTGCGGACTCCCCAAATGCTTGCTTTAGCATTTCATAGGTTTCCGTAGCCATTTTGGCGAGCCTTTGGCAAAATTTGATGCACACGCCATTCCGAAATCGCCCTCTATTGACACAGTCTGGAAACGTTCCGATCGCACCTCGTATGTAGATCTGACTGGTCCTTGGACCATACAGAATTCTGGAAGTTTACGCATGTAAATTGCTATCTGAATGCTAGGTCAGCCGACACAATTTGAGCCTTCCCTTACACCCAGGGCCACCTGAAGATCTTTTTGTTAAATTTGATATACCCCAGTGATGGTCTTGGCCTTTGTGGAAGTCATATACAACTGCATTAGTAGGATGCTGTCTCCTGGTAGTACTGACATCTTCCAGCTGTAGCTAGAGGTGGTTGCTGTTGACATCAATGACCATTCGAAGGACCCACAACCATCTTGCACGGTGCGTGAATCATACGAGGTGCGATCGGAAGGTTTCCAGACTGCGCGTATAAAAACCCGTGCACTTATCTCAGGTATTAAATTCATCCATCACCCTCGAAGTAGTTCCCCTGGGAGTGAACACAACGATCCCAGCGCCGCTGCCAAGCCTGGAAGCATCCCTGGAAATCTTTCTTTGTCAGCCTGTCAAGCACCATCTGCGATTCTGCCTGAATCTCTTCTATCGTCTCAAATCTCCTTCCCTTTAGCTGAATTTTCATCTTTGGGAAGAGGAAGAAGTCACACGGAGCTTAGAAAGGAAGTTGGGGTCGGTTCTTGCAAGATCTTTGAGCTCCTGACAAACGAGAAGTCGATTCTGCTTCTGGTCCTCTGACAGGATGCGTCGCATGTGGAGTTCTTCCTTTAGAATCAGCTGACAGGTCCCATAGCCTATCCCAGCAATGTCGCACAAGTCGTTGATGGTACGACGTCGATCTTCGTGAATGGCCTGCCGAATCTTCGTAACATTTTCGGGCGTTGTGCTCGAAGATGGTCGTCCAGAACGCTCGTCATCATCGCCAGAGGTTGGGCCATTTTTAAAACGTGAATGCCCCACAAAAGTTTGTGCACGACCCATTTCGAAGTATTTCCCCAAATGCTTGCTTTAGCATTTCATAGGTTTCCGTAGCCGTTTTGGCGAGTCTTTGGCCAAATTTGATGCACACGCCATTCCGAAATCGCAGGAGGGTCGGTGTAATGCACTACCAAAACGCCCGTAACTAAGAAACAAATGCTAATTCGATGATGCCGGCTGGCACACTGATTCACTATGAATGTAGGCCGCACCCCCTAAAGACAGAAGCTCGTACTACATCCGGTTCGCCCGCTATTGACACAGTCTAGAAACTTTCCGATCGCACCTCGTATATTGTACAGATTTTTTCGTCGCTGGGAAACTGCTTTCCTCATTAGAATTGCCGTACTTCAGGAATGCGAGCAGGAAATAGTCGCTCTGGGCGAGATTCTGCATGTCGTTTATTAGAGCCGCTCTGTCAAATAGTGACTTGAAGCCTCTGCGGTCTTCTGATTAGGACTCTAGGTGAAATTGTGAACATTTCACGGCTTCTTTTGTTGTTTTTGCCGTGCAAAGCCAGTATAAATTCCGTGTAGTAATCGCTGTCGCCGACTTCTTTGGCCCTGACCGCAGTAGTGGTCCCAGAACACGATATTTATAATAATACTACTAGTGTTGTGGACTCATGATGTCTATAGCTTCATATCCTGTTTGCTTCTCGGATGCTGATGGTGATTTCACGATTGAATATAATTTGTTGTTCTGTGCAAGAAATTTCCATCATCAGATTTAAGAAGTTTCCCATTTTCATTATTACTTTCAGACCGACGTGTTTTATAATAAGGAACCAACGCCCACTCATTTTTGAATTACTTGTGTGTTACTCTGTGGCGTGCTTCGGTGCGAAAATGAGAAAGAAATTAAAGGTGTGTTATGTTTTGAGGGACTAATCTCACAACAGTTAAGAGTTATGTTTCAAGTAATTACTATGCTTTTCAATGCTTGACCGGTTCACATGTTTCCTGTTTCCATAATGAAATGTTTTCGATCGGCCCTTAAGTTGCTTTTTGCACTACTTTGTTCACCTGATTATGAACATTTAAGATATAATTTCATCATTGCCGATTGTTTGGTTGTCCCGGATACACTGATCGTTGAGCTAACAACCCACATTGCTTTTTAATCATCACTCGTCCGCCACTGAATCTTTCAATTCATTCGGAAAACTTTCTGTGGCTCATACAGGGCCATAAAAATTAGATCACAGATCTTTGTTGTTTTTTGTGTGCATTAAATTAATGCTGAAGTAATACTTGTTGCAGTAATTAAAATACAGTGAAACGTAAAGACGTGAAAGAGTGAAGAATATGCTTCATATATTCCGCCATATTTTTTAGTGCTGCCAACATCACGTTTGAGATAAACTAAATTGCCGTTACTTTTTCCAGTCGTAATACTAATTTACGGGCCCGAGATTCATCTTATTTAATTCTGTTTTACTTCATTATTTCGCAAATTGGGCTATGACACTTTTACAACACGCAGTAATGCAACTAGTTCTCTCATACAAGCAAAGACCTGCATTTATTTATTTACAGTTCATTTAACGACGCTGTTAGCAGCTCAGACTATACTGTGTAGCGGCAAACGTGTATTTCTCTTGAGGCTTTCTGCGCACAGTTATAAATTAAAACTGCCAATCAGAATGTTCAGCTTGTTAGTTCGAGGGCCTGTAAATATGAAGTAGGGTTTGACTATGGGACTTCCGCGAGGGGATATCGTCGTCACAGCCGCGGATGTGACACTGCGGGAAGCTGCAAGCGATCCCAGCCATGATGCAACTGGCCTCCCTCGCCACAAATGTCCTCTCAATTTCACATGATTATGCAACAACTTTGCCTAAGATATTTTTACTTGCTAAACTATTTAATGCATGTTGATTAAATTTGGTGTTCGTGGTGCATGTTACAATTCTGTCGGCCACAGTCATGTCCTCCATATCGGCTTAATATAAATACGACTTTGTATGAAGATAAAATCGAACTTATCTGTTTCATTGAAAGGGTTAATCATGTAAAACAGTTTATACATTGCATAAAATATTGAGATATAACGTTCTGATTTTAAACATGTTCCCGTGCTGCGAATAATTAAGCATGAAAGCAAGAATAATTTAAGACATTCTGAAACCGTGTAATGTTTTTACTCAGTTCGAAAGCTGATATTTTAGGTTTTCACGGCGGTGAATTTGTCGATGTTGGTCGTTTGGGTTGTGACGCAGTGTTCATTTGTAGAGGAACATACTGTCTCTGTCTTTAGTGTCGGTACTTTGGGTAGTGTAATCTAGAAGACTATGATGGTCTGGACATGTGGCTGTGATGGGAGAGACAAGAAATGCGTAGGTCTACATAACTTTAGAACGGAAACCTCTTGGGACGTCCACTTAGGAAATCGAGAACGATATGACAAGATATCCTCAAGATGGATTTTGGAAAGATGGTTTGTGAAAACGGGAGGTGGATGCAATCGGCTCGGGACCTTCTCTATGAGCAACTATTGTCAGCACTGTCGAATATTTCGTTTTTCCTATTAAATTGTCTGACTACATTAAGTAATTTCCTCTGCCCATACTATAATTTTGCCAGTTTTTATGGGTTTGAAATTTGGTTTCTTATACAAGGGAGAAACGCAAATTGAGAGTGTCTGAGAACAAGATGCTAAGGAGAGTGTCTGGATCCAGAAGGGGTAAGTGGTCGGAGACTGGAGAAAACTGTACAATGAAGAACTCAGTAATTTGTACTCTTCACCAATTATTGTGAACTTTGCTGTTGATTTATTTGGCACTAACGCCACAGAAATATACCACCTCCTTATTCCTGGCTGAAGGAAGGAAGATGGAGACAGCATGTTTCTCCAGAACATTTGTATTTACCTGCAAGTCCACACGGCGTTGCAACCCAGAAGTCCAACGTGTACATCTTCACCGCCGTGAGAACCTCAAAGATTTTTAGAATTATCAAATCAAGGAGAGTAGGATGGGCGGAGTATTTAGCATTCATGAGAGGGAAGATCTTAGTCGTAAACGTGAAGGGAAGAGACAACTCGGAAGACTTATGGTTAGATAGGAAGATAATATTAAAATGAATCCGAAGGAAATCAGGTGGGAGATTGTATCTGGATTCATCCAGCTCAGAATGGGGACCGTTTTGTGAGTATAGCAGTGAACCTCATGATTATTCACTAGGTAGAGAGTATAAGCTTTTTAAAAAGAGATTTGCTGCCTGGAGTTAGTTTACACATAACTTCTTCAGTGAGAAATATGAGTTAAATAAAATCATGCATTGCATTAATAAGTGGGTTAGAATTCGCCAGAGCAGTGCCCCAGTGTACTTACGCGTCTGGGGTGATGGTGTGTTGCTCTCCGCCATCTTTACCGAGTTGCGTTGAATTCTTGAGGACGCTCACGGCTCGGCCGACGGCAGATAGCGTCCCTTGGAGCTGATGCCCAAGGGACGACATCCCCACCCGTGAGGTGGGACACTGAACACAGTACTCAGTACGCACACGATATTAGAAGGCAGGTAGCGGCACACATGTCAATACTTCGAGGGGTCCACGGCTACGCCGCAACCAAGCCTGAGTCCATCAGCGTTGTCCTGAGCGAGCCATCCTCGGTCCGTACTGGCCGCTTTGTCAGTTGAGGAATTACCGGGATTGTAATTCCTGTCCGGCAACAGAAGTATTCACGTACACTCTAAATGAAAAGATGGGTTGGCGGGGGTGGGGGAGGGGCCGAGCCCACAGGTGTCCTGGCTGTGCCACCTAACACTCTTCAACTGCTTCTGCTGTCTGCCACTTCATATGAATGAGTACTCGAAGTCGAGTTGTTGGAGAAGGGGAGTGTCCTCTGCTGTGGGTGGAAATTCTAAGTTAGCAAGTGATTGCAGAGTTCTCGGAGCAGCGAGGCAGGATGGATCCTGGCAATGAGATAATAGCACTTTGTTCCCCCCCAGGAAAACCTGGTTAAACCAAACCAACCTGCATGGTGGCAGGAAATGGGTACTCTGCGGGACTCTCGCTTAGTTGCCACATTGGTTTTTATTTTCGCTCCTACTGGATCTTTGCTCGGGCAATGACGATCTTAAATCAGTGAGGTAATATTTGAGATTTCATGTTCTCACGGCGAAGACAACATGAAGATGGTTGTCTTCTGGGTTGTTGCTGCGGGTAGTGAGACACAAGTTTGCCAGCGTTTCACAGGAGTTTGCTGTCTCCGTCATCAGGGCGATTATTGAAACGTAGCTGAATTTCTACTAGACCCAATGGCGGCCCTCATGGCCCTGATGTTGACGCAGAAAACACCTCTGAAGCGTTGGTAAACTTCTCTCAGACTGCACGGGACAACAGTCCAGAAGACGGCCGTATTAATTGTTGAATGTATTTTAACAGTTGTAAGAACATTTTACAAATTAATATGTAGTAACGCTAGTATGAAGTGGAAATTGCACTCGTCGAAAAAAGATGTTTAGAAGATGTTTTAAATATCGCAGGTCTTCGCCTATATTGCATGAACATTAAGCGCCTGAAGATGACCCCTCATGCTAGTCGAAACATGTCGCTCTAGATGTGAATGGCATTATGTAAATTATATTATTATTATATTTATTGTGTGAGACGATTTTCATCGCATTGAAGGGGAGAGGCATGTATATTTTTCAACATTTTTAACCTAGGTACGAGGTGAAGAAGAGTGGTCGGTTAGCTTAATGTTTCTGCCACCTTGTCCCCCCAAGAGAGAGCATCCTTTACCCTTCGGATCATTCGATAAAAAAAATCTCATCCACTGCCGAGAACTGAACTCCGGTTATCCAATCCGTCGCCAGGCTCTTTACAGACTAAACTATTCCGTCTCGTTTGGATCTTTATTAAAGTGGCTTCGACGTGGTAGGGAGGCTAGCCTAAAATGACATAGCTGAGTAAAATAACACCTGTGTTGTTTTCAAATGCATGCCTTGAATGGTATTAAATGTCACGCCGTTGGGTTGGTCGTATTGGTACTCGACTTCAGTGAAAGATGGCGTATTGATACAGCGCGGATTTTATCCTTTGTGTGCAAAAATTTGTTTTCTGGCGTTTCTCTTATAGTTTTGCTGTAACATTTTACGAGCATTGGCAGCCTAAGATTTGTGATCAGTGTATTGAAACAGATATTCAGTGAAGTCTTTTTAGTTTAGTCATAATTAATACTAATTGCTTCGATCAACGTTTCTTGTGTTTTTAGTATGGTTTGGAAAACAGGTGCAGCCAACTTCGGATTAAATCACCTGCTAGGTTTGTGTCTGAACTCTGTACACAGACGTAATATTACTGAGCATTTTCCTTTGTCATGTGTTTATTTGCTAATATCCTACAGAATTTATTATGAAGAGGTGACTTTTACTGTATTTTGAACTTGATTATTTGAATGTGCTGCTTTTATCTTTTTTATTCGTTTCCTGTTTAGATACTGCCTAATATGTTATTAATAACGATAAAATTACATATTCTATAATATTTATTGGCGAGCATTGTATTTCATGATAAGAATGTTAAGTATGTGATTTTACATGGACGTTGGCTTTTTGGTGATTTTTCTTTTTTGAAAAGAACCGTAGGAAGACACGTCACGTACGTGACAACATTTCTTCATTCTCCAGATGTTACAGAAAACATGCTGTCATAGGTTTAGAGGTCAGTTAAAACCCATTTGCATTTATTATGCCTGTGCTATTTGGGGCAAGTCTCCCCTAATAGCCATACAAACTGAAGTTAATACGATCAGACTCATATTCTCTTTTTTTTTTTTCTCACGATACAATTTTTCAAATACATTTGATAATCACGCGTTCTGTAGGATTCCTTTAGCTCATTAAAATATACATTTTTGTCATTAAGTTTTAATCCTAATATTGGATGAGTACAAACTATCCGAAATACAGTTTTATCGACAACATTTTGTGTCTGTCTACCATGTCGAGTTTGATAGAAATAGATCACATAGTGTGGACCCTGTTACATGTGGACACGTAGTCGTACTCAAATCTTGGCCCAGAGACTGGCTACATGGGTCGAAGGCTTTTAGGCCTAGTTGTTTTCCTGCTGGGACAGACCTTAAATTCACTTGTTCCGAAATGTAGTTTATTTCTTGCAGGAGAAACATTAGTTCTCAGTTTGAGATGGAAGAATCCACTGAAAATCTACAGTTAAACGTCTTAATCAGTTTTCAGCGTAACTACTCACATAAGCAGGAATTTGCCTTGTTTAAACTTGCATTATAGAAGATTATAGTAATTTATTAAGAGGCATTGTAACACATGAATGGAATCATAGATGGTTCCAGGATTTTAACACCACACTTGTTTAAGCCAAGGTTTTTGAAATTATGTTTGAAATTAATTGATTAATGAGGAAAGAATTTAGCCTATAAGGTTTTGTCAGTGTGAGAAATTAATAAGGACTTATAATAATGAATTTTAAATTTGAGAGAAGACGCAGTTAGAAGAGCCTTTACATTTCCGTAGCTGATAATTACAAACTTTCAATTAGCTAAATTGGAAACTGTACCAGAATAAAATGCAAACTTTTTCCACATGCACTCTTCGCGATTGCATCTCATTGGCTTTGATGTTAATTTACAGTGGATAAGAGTATCATATTGCAGATGCAGACAATACTGTATATTATCATAATGTAATTCTGGGTAAGCAAAAAAACTTATAAGTTAAGATGTACATGCAAGAGGGTTTTGCATGAGTTTATGTAAGTGAAAGTATATCTCACATTTTTCTTTGAGAGATGTTATTGTTTTCTCTTCTTTTTAATTTGTCTCTATTAATTTTATTATTATTATTAATTTAGAAAACTTATTAACACTAATTCTTTCCAAACCGCCGAATATAAGGATAATTTTGGCATTTCTTTTGTATAGATGTGGAATTAGATCTCTTGCTTTGGGGGAAGACATAAATTATAAGTGTTTGTAATGAAACCGCCAAGGAAAGTATTTGTATCCAAGGAGGAGGAAGAGAGAAATTCATTATGTTATGTAATGAGTCATGGAGACCATTTAGTATGACTGTGGTAGTGAAGTTGCGATCGACTAGGCATGTGGTTATATTAGGGGAGAGCAAGAATTTATATAGAATTTAGGTGGGTACATCTGTTGGGAAATTTTGTTTGCTAAAGTGAAAAGACACTAGGAAAACACCGACTTAGAAGTGTACATTCTTTCATGAACTGGAATATGTAGGCAGATTTCCATACAAAAATCCAACACCTTATTTTTTATACATAATTACGTTTGTATTCTTCATCGTTTTTCACAAGACAGTCATCCGTCAGAGTATACAAACGTGTTAAATATCTTCAGCTTCAATTGTGGTATGATGTATTCAAATATACTTTTCGTGGTACTGATAGACAGAAGAAAAAAAAAGAACAGTACTCTAACTAATTTAATAACATTCTTTAAATATCCTTGGAAAAGGCCTGGTATTTTAACAAATTAAAGTGATAATCAAATGAAAAGCAATATAAATACTTAAAAGAATTTGGTTTAGCCTACTTGTAAATGTTTAATAATGCTCACAAAGAACAATGTTTACCTGGAACCGGCCGATTCAGGTTTGGGCAATTGAATCCCATCTGACTGGCCAACAATCATATGGACGTAATTGAATTTATCAAACCGCAGTTCACACTGCCTCAGTATTTCGAGAACATTTCTCATACTTTTATTATTGTATTTTTATTTTGTCTTTCAAAAACTATAAGGCGCGCATACGTTTCGCTAGTCAGAATTACTTTAGAAACTGGACAGAGGTTTAAATTATCTTCTTGATACAAATACCACGAAATCACTTGCAGTCTAATGAATTGCCGTTATAACTAATATATGACTAACTTTTTCTTATGAACCTAGCAACTCTAAGCCCATTGAAAAAATGTTTTCACTCCAGAAATGAAAGTCACGCCAAAAGACTTTTTCTAAAGAATATATCAGACAAAGTAATTCATGATCATTCTAAATAATTTAGACATAATTTAAAAACATCTATCCTTGCATACAGTAACTTAATGCATCATATCAAGTCGTTACTAGCAGCTAGAATCTTGGCCCCTTATTACTGCGACACAACTTTCAAATGATGTATGACTTTTTTCTGTTTTCACTTCAAATCTGAAATATGTAAGTTTGAAACGCAAAATAGTTTCAACATAAAATAGCATTGGTTTGTGTAAGTGAGCATCAGCAATTAGAAACAACGTTCAAAATAGTAAAAGATCAAAATGGGTTCCTTAATCATATCAGATTCTCACATACAAATCATAAAGATCTCTGTGGACATAATTGAAGTATCAGTCGGAATTTTATTATCGTGACTTTCAAACAAGTAACACAAAATCCGAGCATAATAACTTCCGTTTGTTCCACAAAAGTCATAACATAAAATATGATTTAATCGCTTTGAGACATCATGCACAACTCTTAATTTTAGTTGCATTTTTAGTTTAAAATACTTCCAACACGTAGGTAAACATTACAAAGGATATGGCATATATTGAAATGGGTTACAGGAACAGCCAGTGAAATATATAACAAACAGGTTTTGTATGTCCAGAAATCAGAGCTTATTTCTGCGAACATGCATAATTCTTACAGTATTACTTTACAGTGTTATTGGTAGACGCTGTTGAATATTTTATACATTTACACTGAAATGTCAGTCAACAGACCAAATTTGACATTAACTGATTAATTTTATCCGTATTACATAAAATTGGGGTCTTGGTTTTTTTCGTGAAATAAATAATGACGTCCATATTACAGTCACGGGGATGTCTATAGAGGGGACATGAGAGGAAATGTAGCTGAACACGTGAAAAGTCAACTGTTGAAAATAGAAACAAATGATTGGATCTTACTCTCATAGATCAATAAACATTTACAATTATATATCATCAAGCATGATGCCTAAAGATGAAACGAAAAATAAAATCGCTTTCTTCAAACTCTATACATAATTTGGATACATAAAGACTTCAGTCTAATCTCTGATTCTTACCACATTTTTGCATTTGTTGATGAGCCTTAATTGCAAGGGATCGTAACTCTTTAATATTCCAGTTACGTGCAGATTTTGTTTTAAATGACTAGCGATATAGCCCGTTCTTGACTCTGGCCGTTCTTAAAATAAACTGTACTGACACAATAAAATTTCTTATAGAAGAAGACTACGGAAGATTATTATGTCACGCACTTCTGTTGGATTATGGTTTTATGTGTTACAACGCCGTGTAGTGATACAGGTACCGTGATTCAAAAGGCCACAATCCAAATTTTAACATTCCCGAAAGTTCAGGTCTAATATGTTTTCTATTATGTATTATCGTGGAGCTGCGTGGTGGTGGCTTTATTCATCAAACATTTTAAATTTACGAAACATCGGTTGTAATCGCGTTATGCACTATAAAACCGACAATAGCCACTCTGCTACCATACCAGAGACAGTTAAGTCTGATGACAGGAAAGGATATTAATGTGTGATGTTTGTAATTATAATTTAAATTTACATGAAAAATTCATTTTCCCGCTGTGAGACTTGTGACTTTTCAAGTGTTCCATTAAATACTTTCCGATAGAAATGTTTGCTTTTGAATTGAGTATGGACAAAGTAAATAATGACCAGGTTGGAAGATTTATATATAGTGTCTGCCTGCTGTACTGATAACATTTAATATGACTGGGTTTGTCATTTCTGTATAGCTTTCCATGTCTTAGGGGTTCTTAGAATTCTGCATGTTTATCGAATTGTCATTACAGTGTCTGCAAGTTTGAACATTACGTCCTATAGTGGAATTATTCCGGAAATTCGATCTCTTCTTCATTGTCAAAAAGTCGCCAAATCCCCCATGAAAAGTTTCTCCATGAATCCCGGATGAATCCATCTCTGGTTTCCTTTTTTTCATGGGCCAGAAGTCCCCGAACCCGCTGTTAAAAGTGTCACCGTGAAATCCTGAAGAATCCATTTCTGGTCTTCTCTTTTTCATCGTCCAAAAGTTTCCAAATCCATTGTTAAAAGCGTCTCCATGAAAACCCGAAGCATCCATCTCAGGTTTCCTTTTCTTCATTGGCCAGAAGTCTCCGAATCCACCATTAAATGTGTCTCCATGAAATCCAGATGAATCCATTTCGGGTTTACGCTTCTTCACAGACCTGTCTCCAAATCCAATATTGAAAGGAACGTCGTGAAGACCTGAATACTCCCTTTCAGGCCATCCCCTTTTCATGGTCAAAAAGTCACCGAATTCGTTATTCAATGTGACTCCATGAAAACCCGAAGAATCCATTTCCTGTTTCCTTTTCTTCATCGTCGAGAAGTCTCCGAAGCCGCTGTTGAAGAGATCTCCGTGAAATCCTGAGGAATCCATTTTTGGGTTTTTCTTTTTCATTGTCCAGAAATCACCAAAGCCATTACGAAATGTGTCGCCATGAAATCCAGAAGAATCCATTTCTGGCTTCCTCTTCATAGTCCAAAAGTCTCCGAATCCACTTTTAAACGTATCCCCATGAAATCCGGAGGAATCCATTTCCGGCCTCCTTTTCTTCATGGCCCAGAAATCTCCAAATCCATTTTTAAATGTGTCCCCATGAAAACCGGAGAAGTCCATCTCTGGGCGCCTTTTGTGTTCCACACCGTTAAGGGCGTTTTCTTTTCTGGAGTCTGCGCCGTTTCTCTTCATTGTCCAAAAGTCCCCAAATCCATTACTGAATGTGTCTCCGTGAAAGCCGTTTGAACCCATTTCCGGCTTCCGTTTTTCGGCTTCTGATATGAACAATTTATTATCTGAATTACTTCCAGTTTCACGTTTTTTCATTGTTGAGAAATCTCCAAAACCACTAGTGAAAGTATCGGCATGAAATCCTGATGGCCCAATACCAAGTCTTCTTTTCTGCGTTGTCCAGCCATTATCGAAATCATATTGTACTGAAGAATTCACCGAATCTTCCGTCAGAAGATTCTTCTTCCTCATAGTCCAGAAGTCGCCGAATCCTCCGCGGAATGTATCACCATGGAAGCCACTGCTGTCCATTTCGGGCCGTCTCTTGCCTACGGCGTCACCATTATCGGCACGGAAGGTGTCTCGACGGCATTTGTGGGAACCCGATTCACGTTGTTCCTTGCGTGTGTCGGTAGAGGGTTGTTTGGCTCCTGGCGGTTTGCGTCCTTCTATCAGATCTTCTGCTTTCCTCTTTTTGCGTTGTACTGGGACAAGTCGCCTGATGTACTTAGGTAAGGTTGTGTCAGTAATCAGAGGAGCAGTGTTTTGTCTGAAACAAACGCACAAACCAGTCAGTTACAGAGCAATAACCCAACCATTTGAGTTAATATTTATTGTTGGAAATGTCCGACAAACTTTCTCTGATTTCATTTATCAAATATATGATTAGCATGATTTATTTTCATAGCTTTTATATGCGATGTAAAGTACTTACAATATTTGACTTAAAATAACAAAAGGCGTTTTTAGTCATGAAAATGTACCACCCAGTGTTTTGCTGTAAAAGTAATGTAAAAAAGTAAAGCTGTCCCATTAGACGCCATGTAGGCGCTTTGTATTAGAGGTGTTGAAAATTAGGTTATGTTACTGGAGTTAATCAATAATATACTACGTGGAGTAAAAGTACTGGGATACTGGGAACTGTTAGCCTTACGCCCAACCCCCAACCTGGAGGACCAGGGTATCACTCTTAGTCTGGCGCATCACCTTAGACCTGTCCGGCTTGGGTGACCCTACCATGAGCCGAAGCTCCGGCCGGCATGGCCCTAAGGGTCATTTGAGCACGGACGGAGGCATTTGAGGGCGGACGGAGGCAGTATGACCTCTGAAACGTTGATTAACATCGACCAGACTACACAGCGCAACAACCCAGAAGACGGAAATCTTCATGCCTTTTACAAGGTGGTGATACCTTCGAGCCGCCAGTAAAAATAAGTAACTGAATGTCTGGTTGACTAACAGAGAAGCGATTTAATTTAATGGATTAGAGCCCTTCTTGAGAAACTGATAGTCACTCAAGAAATTTTCGGCTTTTATGAAAAGTGAATTTTATAGTGTTCAAACGTTCTTCCGTCTCAACCCAATTGTGAGCCAGATTAATCCAGTCCATACGCCCACTCTCTTCCTTTGTGTGAGTGTGTGTAAAGTTACGTAACTACTCACGCACGCACGCACGCACGCACGCGTGCATGCATGTGTGTTTACATATATGTTTCTTAAATACCCTGACGTCTTCCGACTTGCAATCACCAGTCTCTCTCCAGCCTTTTAAATATCTTGTTTTTAACTTACGTGCTGGATCTTTTCACTGTGTGAAAGGACCCGAAATCTCGATTGAACACGTCATCGTGGAATCCTCGAGAGTTGATACCAAGTGGATCGCGCTTTAGACGCCGTGACTGAGGGTAGTAATCATCGAAACCGTCGAACACTGATTCGTGGAAGCCGCGGGCATCCACCTCTGTAAAAGGAACGTATATTAACGCATTGTAAGGTGAACGGCATAATGCTTGTTGGTAGAACGGGCACTCCTTTGCGCAAATTAAGACTTTACTTTCTATTACAGTTCTATTTGTTTTTACTTTCAACCAGACTTGATTTCTACGAGAGTACTGCTAAGTTCAGATGTATTTATCAAATTACAAGTACACACGGTTTTTTACGATGCGCCGGTCATTAATTTTAAGTTATTCGAATTTAAAATCATCTTAGTTTAAGAAATTTTATTCAACACTTTTCTAACCCGCCACGTTTTTTGAACTCATTTTTGCAATAGAAGAAATAATTTATCTTCCTGGTTGTGTAATTCCTTCGACGCGTGGTTGAACACATTTTGGAAAGACCTCGGGGTTGTCTCTCCAAGAGAAACATTGCATATCTTTATTATGTTATCTGCGACGTGTCGTTTGGGATAGGGTGATAAAGACGGACAGTTGTCTGTTATATGTTACAAACAGTTTGTTTTACGTACAAATATTTCCTCCCCTAAAACCCAATTGTTTTTCCTGTAGCACATTCTGATACCCGTTTTATGGACGTCAGCATTCAATTTTAGCGAAAAACAGAAATTGTTTTGCATGTACCGAATCGAATTATTAATATATTTATGTCCCTAATATTGTATAACTTTGTTTTATTGCAAGTAAGTGCCGCGTATAATTTGAAATTGTAATAATTAAGGGGCTAGCTTTCCCTTTTTATAGGAACAGCCTTTCAGTACGATGCGAGCTATTGCAATAGAAGAAAGCTGGGACCAGGAGAGACTGGAATTTCCCGGCTTTTCTCGTTGACAGTCTGCGTCATCAGAAGGGAAAGCAAATTTATCGACATATAATGATGCGTGGGACCATCCTTATATGCTTACGATATCTGAAATAAAAAAAAAATTCAGCCTAAATGAATGAGGTCTCTGAAGTGTGACAGTTCGTTGCTCAGAGCTGTCGAAGAAGTTTATTTTTCTTTCTTATGTATGACAGCACTCTGAAATTATCATCAGAAAATATGATATTATGTCGATTACGTTTAAATTTTCTCCCATGATAAGGATGACGGAAAGACGCAAGTGGATTCATGATAATAAAGCAATTCACCTCTGTTTGTCTCACCGTCAGTATGTTTTAATTGTTGACGTGTAAACATATTCATATACAATTTACATCAAATTTAATGACAAGTTTTATACTTATAATTCCAGTGGTTTGTTAGTTATCATCTGTCAAATCAAGAACTAAAAATTTCGCATTATGTCAGAGTTTTCATTTTAAACTGCCTCCATCATCAGGGGGATCGCCCTCATGATGGAGTCAGCAATGACCTCTGAAACGTCGGTAAACTTCTACCAGACTACACGGCAGAACAACCCAGAAGACAGCCAACTTCAGACTTACCGCCGTGAAAACCTCAAATCCTACTTGTCATAATTTCTCTTCTTTCTCAGTATTTCTTTATGTAATATTTGAACTGTGTTCTACTCATGCGCTGCTCTGTAAGCGTGAGTACTGCTGTTTTAAAGAAACTGTTTGGTATCTCAGCATCTAAAGCGCTGAATCGTGGTCATTACCCAAATTGTAACCTGTCACCGAGCAAAGAAACAACTGTGGACATGTATCGCTTTTGTACTATGAAGCAGTTGCAGACCAGGTGGTACGAGTCTGAGATATGTGCTTCGTGCTGTGTTTCAGGAATACAATGGTCAGTGAGTGATGCTTTACTTTGTGTGGGTGAAAGTCTGTGTGGCAACCTGAGGACAATACAATCTTCGGGCCGCATTTGGCGCAATGTAAGTAGCTGCAAGAGGTTTTATTGTAGTATCTTAGTTTTTGTATTTTCAGCTGCAGCCTTTGTCGTCGTAGCAGATTCAGAAGAATCCTTCAGTTGAGTTATTAAATAATTATTTCCCCACACAGTTTTTGTTGTTCTCGGTTTCTGGTGATGGGGTTTATTAAATGAAGCGAGCACCCGTAGTCAAGACAAAATGCTTTTTGTGAAAATGAGGCTTTTAGTTATATTACTACAAAACATACGTTCAGCGTAAGTTTGTAACTTTTTACCGGCATGACTGCGTTAGATATGCCCAAAAGTTTTGCGTTGTTGAAAAATTCCGATTTTAGCATCACTTTTATTTTTGGTGAGGAGAAAAGGACGTTTTAAAAGAGAAACTGCCGAGCGCCTCAAAAAAATCTACCCGTCCTGCATGAATTGTATGAAAACAAATAGAAAAGTGATGAAAACATTTTAATCCACTTTAATATTTGAGAATTATACGAAAAATTGGCCAACAATTTCATATTGAATTTGAAACGGGCGATTTTGATGGCCACTTTTTCGAGATTGTCTTAGTATGACTGTAAATGATCTTTACCTTGGTTACCACGATTCCCTTGGTGGGAGGAATCCTCCGTAATGACGTCTTCCAGCGACACACTCTACCGCCCACGTAAATGCTATTAACTCCTTACAACGCTGCCGTTACTGGCACCACTCGCTGGGGGGTCACTGGTCAAAATTATGGCGAACGCGTCAGTCTTGTTACGCTGTGCGTACAGTTCATAATTTATGAAGTTAGAGTTTGTATCAAGTCGTGACACACTTGCTATAGACCGATGTGCGTCTCCTGGCTGCATATGCCACAATATCAGTATTATGAATGTTGTTTTTCGTTAGCAGGAATCAATTTCTGATGCAAAATATAAAGTTAATTATCGAGGTTTTTAATTTTGTAAACAGTGGACAATAACGAAGTTTCTTCGCCACCAGCGCGGTAACATATTTGTCGTTCAGGACACAAAACATCATTATATTGGTCAATCGAATTATAAATCCATTTGAACTGTGCCATGCCTTTAATTATTTATTTAGAATCTGGATAGTATATATAGATCTGCTCCCGTTTTTGCGTTAATCGCTTGTTATAGGCCTATATGTGTAACTTAAACATACCTAACTAAGGAGACATCACATTATATATAATTGAAGGTGATAGCCTTTCTTTAATGTAATTTTATTCTCAATTTTCTAAAAATAATTCTACGCTTGTATACGTTTTAATGCGATAATGTCTGAGGGCTGGGCACCAGTGCTAATAATATTCAAATGCTGTCAAAAAATAGTAAACCGCCGGATGTGTTAGAGAACAGAGCAGTTTATAAGTGTGGTCCGTGGGACAACTAAGGAAAAAAGTACGTAAGCGAGCAATAAGATAGGCAAGATGCTTTTGAGATAAATTACGTACAATACAGATTTCTTTATTCTCTTCTTTAGCATCTATAGCTCAGCTCATTACAGTTATCAAACAGGTTGGAAAGTTAAACTTCAGGCGAGTATGAAGATGGCTGTCTTTAGACGTTTACCGACGTTTTAGAGGTGATTGCATTCTCCATCATGAGAGTAACGAGTCGTTGCAGTGATGATGAATGTAGCAAGCACCTCTGAAACTTCGGTGAACTTTTACGAGACTTCAAGGCGTAGCAACCCAGAAGACAGCCATTTTCATATCGGAAAGTCATGAAGTGGAACACCAAAATCTTTAGCAATTTTCAAGTGATCCGGAAAAGTGAGTTTCGGAACTGCTAACACAGGGATATGAAATGTGTTTCATCGTATCCAGTTAAAAAATCGAAATATATTAAGTGAAAAAGATGACTGAATGAAAGAGCCTGTAGAATTTGTCATGTAAGGTAAATTTTTTTCGTACGATGTGAAGTAACGCATAATAATGAAGCCCGGTGTGAAATTGAAATGAATATTGATAATAATTGGTAAGTTAAGTAGTACGATGTATTAGAAATATGTTAAAGGGGGCTTAATTAATACAAATTTGGCTAGTCGTTAACGAAATTATGTTGGATATTGCCCATTGTTTGATGCATATTTAATAAGATGGAACTCAGATTCGCCAGTTATTTTGTATATTCCTTGCTGGTTGATTTTTAAAATATTCGCTGATGTATTCTGAGGTATATTATACTAATACAGACAATCTCATTAAAGTATGAACCATCGCTAAGCTTCTTAAAAAGAGCTTCATTTTATAGTATTTTAATTCTGTTGCTTTAAATACACCGCAAATAATCATAGTTAAATTTAATACTATGACTAGAGCGCAAAGATGTGTGTTAATGAATTTTGTATAGTATTAATACGATTCAAATTAAAGTACTTATCATTTTTAATCGAAGAATTTCGAAAAACTTCACACGAGCTGTTCATTCCTTAACTATATATATATATATATATATATACACAATATATTTACATTATATTTACAATCAGATTTGTAACTTTGTTTTTAATTCCGTGTTAACCCAGCTGTTCAAAGTGTGAATTGAATGAAGCTCACAGACCACAGGTGGGCCGTGAACCACACTCTCAGCAACAGTGGGTTGTCGCCTGGCGTTGCTGGAATTCGTGTGATACGACCACATTTTAATGCTCGCACTGTTTAATTTCTTGTCCATCACATTAAATAAGCATCGGTCTAGTCTGAACGATGCCAAACGATAGAAAATAATCAAGAGCCATTACCGTAATTAAATTTCGAGCAACATTACAGACACATTAGGCTCTAACCGCCTCAGTATTCCTTTATTCCACCTCAAAAGCAAATAGTAGACGCGGCGGGAAGCATTTATGTACGCGTCGACAGTTTATTTTCCTTGCATTTTTGTCCCTAGCAGGGACACTATTTGTAACTGCTCGCTTCTGTTTATTTTTCCGACTTGTATGTTGTATTTTCTGTTACATCTGTATATACACCGGGGCTCCATTGGGAAGGTTGTTATATACCTTACTATAGTCAAAGTATGAATGTTTTTTTGACGATGGTGTATTGTAATATGTCAAATTGTTTTTTTATCTTTGTCCGTTGTCTGAATTATAAAACAATAATAACAACTCAACCGAAGATGTCTGTCTTCTGGGTTGTTACGAGTGTAGTCTGGTAGAAGTTTACCAACGCTTTAGAAGCCCATGCTGGCTCCATCATCAGGGCGATGAGTCTGTCATGCTGATGATGGAGGCAGCAAGGACCTGTAAAACTTCGGTAAATTTATACCAGACTACACGCGTAACAACCCAGAAGACAGACATCTTCAGACTCACCGCCGTGGAAACCTCAAATCCCACTTAACGGCGTATAATTTCGAAAGCTGGATTCTGCGTCTGTCTTCCGTTAAGGGGGGGGG